AAGATTACCATCATAAAATGGCATGTAACAGTGGGTGGGTCTGGGTTGAAATAAATTGTTTTTCTTGTGTTTGTTTATTTTTTACTTCTTGTTCTTACGTTGATATAACCGGAGTTATGCCTATCTTTCTGGTAGCGATTAAGTCCTAATTCGGGGCTTGTGGGACTAAGGTACGTTAAAAAGAGCTTAGAAAATTAATCTCTGACATGGTAACAGATGGTAAACAATATTGTAGTCGACGAACAGATTTCCGCCAACCAGAAAATGAAAATGGAAAAAAATTCAAACCATAACAGTTCAAAAGGCGTTAGAAATAAATCTGGTTAGTTCAAAGTGTTCCTACTTGAGGAGCAGTAAATCTTTTAGAACCTTTTACAGGATGTGCTGTTTACAGAATGCTGAAAAATTAATCATAACTATACCCGAGTTCGATTTTATATTGACTCACGCACTTTAAATTAATATAAAAAGATAAACAGTTTTGTAAAAGAAAAATCGGTTCAGTTGGCTAATTTCTTGTGGTTTGCTATCGATTCCGAAACTTTTACATATACGTCACTGTGTACGCTATCAAAAAGATTTTCCGGAAAAGTAATTTCCTTAAAGTAATACGCTTTTATAATTAATTTTGTCTTTTGTCTCGTTTTGTCATAGGTCAAATTTGCCCGCCCAGATTTACGCGACCCCGCAAGATATTGGGCCGTATGAATAAAAGTAAGCAAATGCTTATACTTGCAAAATTCAAAGTAAATACTCGTAAGTGCTCCTTCGCACTGGGCAACTTAGCAGCTCTTCTAAACAGAAGGAAAGGACGCAGTACAGCGCTGCTAAACCATGCTAAACATACCAGTATGAAGGGGCAGTTACGAGTATTTACTTTGAATTTTGCAAGTATAAGCATTTGCTTACTTTTATTCATACGGCCCATTTAGTTGCGTTCAGTTCTCTGCTGTTCTGCCAGAATAAAATTGGGTTATTACAGTACCTTAGGTATGAAGGATGTTTTGTACAACCAGCTATTTAACTATTTCTATAAGTTTAATGCAATAACTCACTCTCGTTCTGGAAGGAGCTTCAAATGATGGTAATAAGCAAAGGTTAATTGAATATATTGCTCAGCTGACTTTATTCAGGAAGCAACTAAAAGTTTAGGGCTCGGAAAAATATCAGGAAAAGTTTCGTCCTTTTCCAGACCTAACGTTAACCACAATTTGTATCGATTTATTTATAAATAAAAAAAATAAATTTATGATTGTCGATTGAACAGAACGGTTGCTGCAGTAAACTTGAAGGGAAATTTGATTTTTGCAATAATTTATTTTTTATGAAGGTGCATTAAAATGTTCTTCTCTTGTCTTTTTAAATAATAATTAAATATAGTAATGTTATTTTGTTCTTTGACTATGTCCCACAAAAAGTCACTTTTTAAAAAAACTTCTAATAGGCAAAATTTTAAAATCTTGCAGATGGAATTTAGAATAAATTGGAATTTTTGGCGATTAGTCCCATATTGCGAATATTTCTTTTTTTTGGGTGGAGTTTCGCAGCTCTGAATCAAATAGGCTTAACTGAGGCAAGAAGACTTAACAGACTTTCCTTAAAAATACATTAAGCGGCATTTTATGTACAGTTAACCTCAGGATTTTTCTTTGTGCCGGAACCCAGCTGTTCCATGAGCTTGATATTGAAAGTTAGTACAATTGAGAATAATGGTAATTGTGAGCTAGCTAGGTAGGTTCAGTTTTTTTTAAATTTTTTTGTTTATGTGCCCATGGTAAGGATCACAGCATTTATCGCTTGCATGCCCAACGTGGGGTAAAGCATTTAGGTATTTTTTTATACACCCGAAATGTAGGTGCACACAGCAATATTGAAAGAAAATTTATAAAATATATTTGATTTCAATATCGTTATGCCTCGGAAATATCTATAGTTCTTTTCTTTGCATTCCTTACGATGTTTACAAATCGATTCTTTTTTTCACTGGCACTTATAACCTGTAGAAGTGTCGGGTGTCTTTAAGGCAATAGGAAGATTTGAGGGATATTCCATACTAATAAGAAGAGTGGCGCCAGATTTTTATGCAGTAAATAATACGTTTATGGCACAAGCGAAGATGAGACAAATATACGATAAACATGACGCTAGAAATGACGTCATACCGTAATGTAGGTGATTGACAGATTCCTCAAATACTATATAGATTTAAAAGTAAGAGAGAAAGGATTGATCCTTAGACATACTCATCCACGACCTTTATCAAAACATTTTTACCTTCATTTATTAATCCACGTAAACGTATTGGAAAGCGGTCAGTTAAAAAAATCGGAATCTTAGTCAATATTTCAGTAGGTATAGTGCCAGTCTCTGAAATTTTTGCAAATTCTCGAACTTACTAATTGGTAACGCAGCACCTGTTTACCGCGTTGAAGTTTCATACCCGAAGTTATGACCGCACCGTTCTGAATTTACTTATAGTACAACACCCTACATAAGGTCAACCTTCGCTTATCTGTTTACCGAGTGAAGTACATTCTTTAGCAAGCTTAATAAGTCAACAAACACATTGGTAATGGACTGCCAAAAAAATTCACGCAAGAATACCCTTAATTAAAATTAATGTAGGTAATTAATATTTCTGTCCCCTTCTATCACATGGAGGGAGCGAGTCGCTTTTGGAAGTTCGAGTACGATTACCCATGTAAACAAATATTCCAAAGGTGACTCGACAACAGCTCATTTTTGATTGCATAGTACAAAAACTACAACAAAACCTATCCCGGTGCTGGGAAGAAAATAAGTGTTTAAATAACTACATTACTTTTTTAATAATGTAAATAGTGGCAATAAGATGAATAATGATTCGTGTCTTTTAATGAATAAAATTCATCAGATTTGATGAAATTGGGTCAGTGATTCGTTAGATCTTATGTGATCTGGTAGATGGTGGAATATTTTGATGCCAATGTAGGAAAAATAATTTTGTAAAAGTGTATTTTTGGAAGTCTTAATTGGGCATTTGCCCTTGTAGTGTAATTATGGTCGTCAGGCGATTTATTTAAAGTTTTATGTTGTTTTATTTTTCATAATATTATAGATACTTTATAAGCGTAAAGGTTTGTTAAAGAAAAGATATTTAGAGATTTAAACCTTTCTTTGGAAGAGCCTTGTTTGTACGCATTGCAATAGGTGATCGCATGCAAGGGGGTTAAACCTCCTTTCTTTGAAACGAAATAGAGATTTTTAATCCTAGAACTATATTTCTATTCCTAGGCACCTTAAGACTCTTCTGCTACCACACTTGTGTGGCAGTAGTATCACGACTATACAGTTATGCTGTGACATACAGGGTAAAGCTCCAGTAGTATTACTGTATGAGCATATATTGGCATTAGTATATCTCTCGGGAGATTCTGTCAACCTACCTCCCAGTAATGAGATGGCAGAACTGATAGCACACTGCGAGAAAAACCTTATTACAGGGTGTGACTCAAATGCTTACCATACTACATGGGGGACCACTAACGTCAACTCTAGGGGTAAATCATCACTGACCAGTACTAGAGATTCTCAATCAGGATAGACAACCCACGTTCATAACTACCCGAAGCCAGACTGATTTATCTCACATAACGAACTGGTAAGACACCCCCGAATCGACTATGTTAGACCATAAAATAATTTCATTTGAAAATAACTGCCCAGTCGCCCAGAAGGGTTCTATCCATCCCAAGGTAACGGATATTCCTCTTTACAAACTTCTCCTTGGGGGGGGCGGCTTTCGGATCCTGCCGACTTAAAGGACAAAGTAGATCTTCTTATCAACTCCATTGTGGAGTCATTTCGATTTTCCGTCGTCTGTATGTCTGTTCCATCGAGATCTCGGGCCCTGGGCCACTTAGAAACTTCAGGTTTTGAGATCAGTGAGCGATGGGGCTTGAGGGGTGGGGGGGGGGGGGAGTGGAACTAGTTTTATCCTTCATGGTATTCTAATGAAAGGTCTCAACGAAAGGAATTAATTTCTACCAACCTTCCCTTATACCTCAAGAACGGATTGTGGGAAGAGGGTACTCACAAAAGGCGATTGAGACGTCTGCAAGGAATATATCCATTGGTGATGTCAAATCAAAAGCTATTTCTGTTTAAAAAAATGCGCTTTATCTGCACAAGAGTTGTGCACAATTTACACTTGTTTTACGAGTTGCGAGTTTGTGATCTCTATCTATAAACTTGACGAGCGTGTAAAAAGCAATGGAAAGGACACTTTTGAGTTTTGAGATGTCTTTCCGATGAAAATGAAAATGATACAATACAAAAAATATCGAGACTTAGCTAATTTGTTCGAAGTAGAGGCTTTTCGAGTAAGCTAATCGTGGTATATTGGTCGCACATATGTGTAAATCTACCCCTTCTCGTAATACCCTTAGTTTGAAAAACTTAAATCTAAGTAATCTCTCCAAAAATATTATGCTTATGATACCAGAAGATCCCAAATAGCTTAGTCTGCGGGACATTTTGTTTATTTTTGGAAGTGCGCTGGAACAGTTATTCATCGACAGAATGCTAGTACCAGAAATGGTCAATCTGTTTGTGTCGAAATTACTGTTGAATTAGTAATGTTAAAAATTCTCGCTGGAATAAATCAGCGGTTGCGTATCTGCTTAATCACAAAATTTAATCAAAAATTTAAATTAAGCTAACCTAGACCTCGAACTTCAAAGAGCCTCATCAAAATACGCGTGCATCGCACCCAGAACTAAAACGAAATTATTCATAATCAAATTTCCTGAACCAAAAAAAAACTGGACTGAGTCAAAGTTACATTAATTAGCGGTCAGAATTTCGAAAATTCTAAAATTAAGAATCGCAGCGCGCGTGTGACAATTTGAAAGAAAATAATTTTTGGAGAGGTCGTTAATAGAATTGTGATGGGGACGGTTGTTAATTTCTGACGATTTGTGTTCATTTACGAGTTTGAAAAAATCGACGCGCTGAGCTGGTGGGGCAAATAAATCCGAACAACAACTGCGAAGAGTAAAGTTGGGCGTCCGTGGGGCGTCCGCGTATATATTTTCACGGTGTACGCTTTTCACCTCATTGCCGTAAGCGAGCGACGTAGAATTGCTGTAAGTTTATAGGACACAGTGCTTAAAAAAAGTGATTCAAGATGATTGTGTTAAAATCGGTGATATTTGCTCTGGCTGTATCGACGACTGTACTTGCTTATCCTGGTAAGTGCCCCAATCAATAATTTTAGCGTTTGCGTTCTCAATGCATGCAATTTCGGCTCATTTCTTCATGCCGGCAATTTAAAGTGACCCACGCACCTGATTTAATTATCCTGTATGCACAAATTGTCTAGTTTATTCAACACCGGTGATTCATACAAGCTAATGGCGACCGTAATCCGAAATTAGCATGTATGACTACAATATTTAAATTTAATTAAACTTGTCCAATCAATTCTTTTTTTATGTAATCAACCTTGAAGGTACACCCAGGTACAGTGGACACACTGCGCTGATTTTCATTGCTAATAACATGAGCACGATCGCGTGATGGAATTTATAACCAATAATTTGTTGTTATGACCATTGGTAAAAAAACGACATATGGATTCTCAAGGTTTTGGTAACTTTTGCTGTTGCCAATCGATTATTGCATTATTGATGCACACATTTCGAGTTCATCCTAAACAACCTTCGGGCCTTTCATTGTATTTAGTAAGCCGGTAAACAAGGTAATATCGCAAACATGTCGAGTTTTTCCCAGTGTTTTGCAATTACCACTTGAATAAAGGATTAACTGAAGTCACACGTTTAGATATTTTGCAAGTTTTCGCTGTAATAAAAACAAACATGGTCCAGAAGAACAATTGATAGGAGTTGAAATCAATGCCAATGAAAAGTTTTCGCAGGCAGTCTCCCGCTTAGGTTCCGGAAACTTTGGAATACCATGGCCCTTTGTTTGCAAATTATGATCTCGGAAAACTTGGAATATTTTGCTTTGAATCTTCGTTTACAAAGATCAAGGCTAGTACATTTATAATTTTCAAGTTTAGCAACAACATTTCTGATTGTGGATTGAAATTTGTTTACGATTTCTGGACAGACATTATTCACGTGATATCTCAAGCAAAGCAAGATTTTTGAAGTAAATTTACTGACACACATTAGATACGTATCTATCAAATTTGACGCAGGCATCCACCATATAATTAATCTGTTTATATTAATTTCGAGGTTGTTTCGGGTTTGGGCGATTAATTGAAATAAAAATATTGCATAATCCTTTATGGGAGTCATAATTTTCCCCCATTCTAAGATTTTTGAAGAATTGTTTTGGTTTGAAGAATTGGATTGATTTTCATCTACACTTTTGAAATAATCAAATTATATCAGCATATCGTTTATAAAACAGTTTGCAATAAGACCAAATTAAGAGACATGGGACATGACACTTCTCCTACTGACGCAATGCATAACAATGTTTTCACTTTTCTGCCCAATAGCGATTAACTAGGTACGTGTGAAATTAGGAATCGGTGATTTTCCATCTGAAAGAATTTAAAGACATTCCGCTTGGGATTATGATTGCGGATCGCAATTTGTACACTCAATCTCCCATCGATGTCTGACAAATTTTGTACAGGATTTGCATCTGACAAGTCAAACGTTACCCGAAGCGTAAATTTATAATTAACGCAGATCTCCGCACACGTAAAAAAAAACACAATTTGAATCTATTTTTAGAAATACAATGACGTCCATTTCAAATTCTATATATAAAAATGAATGATTATCATCACGGACCTCAAATTCTTAATCTCGCCCGTCTAAGCGCATAACCACCATTTATCAAAACACGCCGGTATGCGAGAAGAGCATTGAACCGCATGTCATGTCTCTATCTTGGAACAGCTTTTTAACATAACACCCCATAAGGGCGATTATCTTTCAACATGCAATTAGCTTATAAACGAGCCGGAACGGGCTCTCCTTCATAACAGGAGGTAGATAAACATTTGCGGTTTGTTTTTTCCACTGATACAATGCCGTTAAAGGTCGACTGTAAATTTTTCTTCTCGCAGAATGTTTCTCTAATAGTCCATATAAAGGCCGCACTTACGTAACATACGGCAAACGCTTTTGGAATATCAAGTCAGTACCTAACGGAACGGTGGCAATACTAAATATTCTAGAAAAATATGTGAAAGTACGCCAACTGTTAACGTGACTTTACTCAGAATTTAATTAAACTTCGGAATTTCAAAATCTTATCAAAAGGTAAAAATAATCGCCTCAAGGAGAACGAGTAATGATAATTTGAGTTAGTCATGCTTTAATGTAATGCTAATTTATCATACGTATTAAGTTTGACTCATTTTTTTTCAGCGAGCAAAGATGAGGAGCCAACTCTCAATCCAATGGCGGAGGTCGATTTTGTACCCTTGGAAGCGCAGCGTCCCGGCGTCTTCCCACCGGATGGTGTCATAGACGTCGACGCCAACGGTGGCGGTTTCTTCGGCAATCCATTCGGCAGTTACCCATTCCCATCGGTCTTCGACAGCTTTAATGGTAATTGCAATTATGTAAACGCCAAAGCCAAATATGCATCTAGAAGGTTTCGTGTAGGCCATTTGTGGGCTTTGCTATTTTATATAAACGCAAAAAGCAAAAAGTCGTCAGTTTCTCACGATCATGGATCGGCTTATTTGCGAATGCTTTTTGGGTTGTAATTCCCGTGCGATTGACGGTGTAAATAGTTTTCTGTTTTTTCAGCGCTAATGACCAGGATGAGGCATCAGCTTGATCAACTCTTGGGACGTTTACCTTCAAATGGAGGCGAATCGCCGTTCCCCGAATTGCACATTCCAAATGTTGGCGATTTCGACTTGGCAAAAGGAAATACCACTTCGGTGACTAAGGTATTAATTTCATTTTAACCCGCACTTTATTTGTATAACTCAAGCGGAATCTGTCATTAGATTATAAATGGTCACAAAGTAACCATTAACGAAACTGAGTATAAAAAAGACAACGATAACGGTGGTTCCTTCTTCAAAGTTCGCGTAGTTGACGTGCATCCAGACACTGAAGGGTCCACATCAAAAGACGTCGAAGGCGTCGTACCAGTAAAAGACCGCGAACCCATGGACGACGAAGAGAAAAAAATTAGGGACAATGAGGTTGGTAATGAGGCAGAGCCGGCAAAGTTAAGCGCCGCCTAATTCGGTTATTTTTTTAACTTGCATGTTGTATAAAGATTTTCCACCCCTATACATATTACGACCAACAGTACTAAACTAGTAGGTAGTTAGTTTTAAGGATCAGGTATAACTATACATTATTTTGTTGTAAGATAAAATAATGTGTTTATTTTTGCTATTAATAAAGATATATAACCGCTAATTTTTTATATAAGCCAAGTCATATCACTTTTGGGCTTTGGAACTAACAAAATTTCTACTAACACCTACTCACCACATTTTTACACTAACAGATCTAACACGTTTTTTTTGTTCTTTTCCTCATTTGATTGTGTTGTACTCTGCGCACTTTTCATTCCCACGCACTTCTTCTGTTAGGCATTGAGACCCATCCACATCGAAACGTTTGAAGAGCCCGACTCCCACGGTTCCGCCGACATGAAAAGGAACACGCATTGGGGATACACGAAGCCTCTAGAAACCATCGAAGATAACAGTCTGACCTCCGAGCTGATCCCTCCCCCAGATTTAACTAACGACATTTACGTTAATCAATTACTGGCGGATTCGGGCGCGCCCACCAACCCCGACGCGGAGATCTTCGATGTGACCGGCGGCGTGCACCAACAGCCCAAGAATCTTGCAGCTACCCAATACTACCCGCGCCCCTATGGACATCCCGAAATTGAACGATTCCAAATCCATCCAAACTTCGACAATAACATCCCCTACTACCCGGATCCACTGATCCAACAGAATCGGCCGAACTTCCCGATGTTTCCCCCCATGTTTCCGCCGCACCAGATGTACGCGCCCCGTCAGTATCTGCCCGAGCAAGATTCGGCGGCGAGTACGCAAACTCACAACATAATCCAAAGGAGCACTACGGTAGCAAAGGAGACGACGCACGAAACGGCGGCGGTACCCTCTCAGACTGACGCGAACGCCTCGACCTCGACATGATAAAAGACCTCCTCTCTTGTTACGGTTTAGACGTTTGAGGCTAAACTGATATTTTGTTAGACTGATAAATCTCCTGTTTGTATTGTTATTTGTGCATCTTACTTGCCAAAGACTTGATCACTGCATTGTAGTAACTACACCATCTTCTTACTTGAGTAACTAAATTATTAATTTATGTCATCTACGTAGAAGCTATTTTATATCGTATTTAATATTCGTAATTCTTAAATTATTTATTTTTTATAATAAACATTCCTTTAGCAAAAGACTTCTTGTTATGTAGCATTAGTTAACAATAATAAGATGAAAGTTGTTTAGAAACCGTGATGAACAATTACAGATCACGTTAGAGGCAATTGCTCAAAAACGAAACGAGCGAAATAAGGCGTAAATAATTTGTTCTCTGTTAGATGTTTAAATGTAGTCGGTAGAAGATTTCATGCATTTTACCATTGAATTTATAAATTCAATGATTTTACTTTCAGTACTTTGTCATTGTATAGAAAAAGTATCATCACAATATTTCGGGCTTTACCTACCTGCAATCCAGCAGGTTCGCAATGTATAGACATTTTTATTCGGATCTTGTACGGACTGGAGTTTTCCGACCCCCTACTCCTACATAAAAAGATACAATTCATGTACAATATTTTTGATTATAGCTTTACCTTCACTACGCCAATATTTTTTGTTTGTTTCTGACTCCTATGACCTATCAAACTTTGGTAGGGGCTGAAACAGCTGCTTTTCTAACTTTTATATACTCGTATTATTATTTATTCGTGATCATGTTTCTCATTTGTACTTGGCAAGAAATTTTCTACCAATGCTAAAACACCACCCACTTAAAAAAACAAAATTAAATCGTTTTGGACGTAAACCCAGTATAACACATAGTAAAAATAAGACTAAACTTATATAATAAAATAAATGAAGGTCTGAATTGAGATGCATTGTATATATGACAGATTTTTGCCAAACACCCTAAGAAACAACGTTCGTTAATATATTTTGATACATTTAATTTCAAATACGTACGCATTTCCCAAAAAAATCGGAAAAGTAGATTATTGTGAAGCCTTTGTCACCCCTTCGGCGTATTCCTTGTTCATTTTAGTGAGCACCTATCGGAAATGTAAATTAATATTAAGAAACGTTACCTCTCCATTAGTGAGGCAAGCTCTTTAAAAATGCCCGTTAAGGCGCCTATGAACTGAAATACATATAATTCCTAAATAGCATACCTAAAGTTGCCTATTTAATTAATCTTATATTCGACGATTACATTTTAGCCTTCTTATTGCTAAGAAAAGTAGATATAAGGTCTATCATAGTTTATAGTGATAAATTTCATACGATTTTTTCTTTAGTTAGTCAAAATTATAGGGGTAGGATGAGGTGTACGAATTTATACGACTGTGGCTTATTTGGGAAAATTTCTGCATGCACCCATAATGGTTCTGCGGATCTGCCCCAAAAAATGAGACTCGTTTTTAAAAACTAAATTATTGTGAATGTATTCAATTGCACGGTCGGTACTTATAGATTAAAAAGTACTGCAAGATTACTTTAAAAAGTCACAAATTATTACATGACGCTTTTAAAATTACTCCTTACTTTCCGAATATCTGGGCGTTTTTACAAATAAAAAGCAAACTCTTACAAGTGTTTTTGTTGGCAGGTGCGTGTTTTTCGCTGATTTAATTTATCATTGGCGGTTGACATCAAACCATATATGAACATAAAGTGATCATATTTTACATATCAAAAACTTTAAGCCAACTACCAGGAACAATTTATTATTGAACCTCCGTGATGCAATTTATATCGAGCGATTCAAGAAATTCTGACAATACTAACAATTCGCTCAATTACACATTGTCAATTTTTATTTTATAGCAGATGTTAAATTGACATTTTAATAGGTTGTGTCTCTTTAACACTTAGGGTAGACAGAGCTGGGCAGAATACTTTCAAAAAGTATTTGAATACTAAATAGTAAATACTTTACACAAATCAAAGGTATTTGAATACTAAATACTTTTACGTCCCGCACAAGCGAATACTAGATACAGATACATTGAAAAGTATTCAAATACTTAAAAAATTAAGTATTCAAATACTTTAGAAAGTATTCGAATACTTTCAAAGGTATTTTCCGAGACATTTTGGTGTAGTCGATTTTTGGTAAAAAAGGAAGGTTGTACACTGCCTTTTTTTGGGGCCCTCAAAAAAAATTGTCTCAGATCGACCCGGAAAAAAATGTTCTTATAGAATATGGCCTGTAGAATCCATAATTTCAAACAGTTCCAAGATTGGGTTTACTAGTTCTAAAGTTACAGCCCTTTGAATTTTCTTTCGAAATTGGTTTCTAGTCTATAACTTTTGATTGAGAAGTCTGATCGAAAAAGTACGAATTGTTTTGGATTCTACGCACCAAAATTAATAAGAATAGGTGTTTTCCCGAGAAATTTTGGTGCAGTCGATTTTTGGTAAAAAAGGAAGGTTGTACACTGCTTTTTTTGAGGCCCTCAAAAAAAATTTACTCAGATCGACCCGGAAAAAAATTTTTCTTATAGAATGTGGCCTGTAGAATCCATAATTTCAAACAGTTCCAAGATTGGGCTACTAGTTCAAAAGTTACAGCCCTTTGAATTTTTCTTCGAAATTGGTTTCTAGTCTATAACCTTTGATTGAGAAGTCTGATCGAAAAAGTACGAATTGATTTGGATTCTACGCACCCAAATTAATAAGAAAAAGTGTTTTTCCGAGAAATTTTGGTGTAGTCGATTTTTGGTAAAAAAGGAAGGTTATACACTGCCTTTTTTTGAGCCCCGAAAAAAAAATTGTCTCAGATCGACCCGGAAAAAATTTTCTTATAGAATGTGGCCTGTAGAATCCATAATTTCAAACAGTTCCAAGATTGGGCTACTAGTTCAAAAGTTACAGCCCTTTGAATTTTCTTTCGAAATTGGTTTCTTTTGATTGAGAAGTCTGATCGAAAAAGTACGAATTGTTTTGGATTCTACGCACCAAAATTAATAAGAAAAAGTGTTTTCCCGAGAAATTTTGGTATAGTCGATTTTTGGTAAAAAAGGAAGGTTATACACTGCCTTTTTTTGAGGCCCGAAAAAAAAATTGTCTCAGATCGACCCGGAAAAAATTTTTCTTATAGAATGTGGCCTGTAGAATCCATAATTTCAAACAGTTCCAAGATTGGGCTACTAGTTCAAAAGTTACAGCCCTTAGAATTTTTTTTCGAAATTGGTTTCTAGTCTATAACTTTTGATTGAGAAGTCTGATCGAAAAAGTACGAATTGATTTGGATTCTACGCACCCAAATTAATAAGAAAACGTGTTTTCCCGAGAAATTTTGGTGTAATCGATTTTTGGTAAAAAAGAAGGTTATACACTGCCTTTTTTTGAGCCCCAAAAAAAATTTCTCAGATCGACCTGGAAAAAAAATTTTCTTATAGAATGTGGCCTGTAGAATCCATAATTTCAAACAGTTCCAAGATTGGGCTACTAGTCAAAAGTTACAGCCCTTTGAATTTTCTTTCGAAATTGGTTTCTAGTCTATAACTTTTGATTGAGAAGTCTAATCGAAAAAGTACGAATTGTTTTGGATTTTTGGTAAAAAAGGAAGGTTAAGTATTCAAATACTATGCGAAGTATTCGAATACTTCTCAAAGTATCCAAATACTTTGCGAAGTATTCGAATACTAAATATTTGTGAAAGTATTTGAGTTACAAATACAAATACTGCTTCCATAAAAGTATATAATTACAAAGTATTTGAATACTTTAAAGGATTTGAATACTAAAAAGTATTTACAAAATCGAATACTGCCCAGCTCTGAGGGTAGATAAAGTGATCACTTTTTAACGGCAACGGTAGATAAAATGACACAAATAATTGTGCATTCCATCTGTCATTCTTATATCTATTAAAAATAGCACTCCTGCGAACTTCGTATCGCCTTTGGGAAATCCGGCTTTTTCCCTTTCTCGTACCCTGTTTCCGGTAATATCCTCTTTATTCCCGTACCCGTTTCAGCCGGAGTTTCGGGAAGTGTTTTACTATATCTGTTCAAATAAGATGAAATAATAAAAACGAAATCGATAAATTTCGGTTTTTCTGATATATCTTCGGAAGTAATTGGAATTTTCAGGGTTTTTTACAGCATGATAACTGTTTCACTGCACAACTTTACCCTAAGTTGACCATATCTTCGTATTTTCTATGGTTTCCGAGATCTCCATAGTAGACATCCTTCAGTGTATATTTTTGTTGATTGTATTTTCTGAAAAAAATATCGAGAAACGTTTATATTTTTGTTTTACTATGCATACCAATTTTCAGATAATACTAAAATCTAAAAATTAATATAAAATTTGAGGTCTCGGCGACCTGCTGGAACACAGGCCCCTAGCTACCTTCTTACGCTACTGAGGTCATGACAATTTAGCAATACTGGCGAGAAAATATTAAAGTACTGGACACTAGGAAATGAATAAATTGATGGATTATAGATAGATGCCGCCCGATGCATCTAGCTGTTAAACTGTCGAACTGACAAACGCGCGGATCCTTTTTCGATATTTTCTAATTTTCTTAGTTTTTCTTTCTGAAAGAACCTTCTATAAAATAAAGTATTAATTATTAAATCGGTAAAGCCTGAGCAAGGGAAAGAGGGATTAATTTTTATATACAGAGATTTATAATTTTTGAAATGGAAAGAGCTCACACTTTATGTGCACTTAAATGGAAGCGTGCGAACACTATAAACGAAATTATTGAAAAAACAAAAATATTTCAAGTACAGCAAAAATGACATCCTTCGTAATAATAAACGGGTGGTAGAAACTTTCTTAAAAAATTGTAATTTTCGAAAAGGAGAATCACCATAAAACTCACTCACTCATTTCTATACTCCTTATTGTTAGGGTGCAACCTTACAAATATGCATATTAAAGCAAGGAATATATTGTTAGATATTATGTAATATTCTACGATAAATCTTTCAAAAACCATCTACAGTATAAAAGGACTAAGATACAAAGGATTTTCGACCACAATTAAATTTTCGACCACAATTAAATTTTTTGATATTGTACATCTGAAATACAAAACTATAGAGCTTTAATGAACATGAAATACAGAACTAGGAAAACAGGTACCTACCTAGAACATAAATCTTTGGCTTCTCTAATACAAAAATCTTACAAACAATACTATTATTTATCTAGTCTTTGTATAATATCACATTTTGATTTAATAGTAGACACTCTACAGGCTATCGCTTGTTTAACTTCACCCACAAAGATATATACGTGAGAACGTGCATTAGACAACCTACAAATACTATTAAAGACGCGTTCGCAGTCAAACTGATGTCCTCGGTGCCCATTTCCTGCAGGATCTTTTGCGGTTGTCGATAGTGGCAGTATAGCAATTCGTCAGGGCAGTCCAAGGCGGTCCTATTGAAACCGTAGATACCGTAAACGACGCTCTGAAATCCGGCTCTGTAGTAGCTAATGTGGAACATCCACCTAAAAAGGACCGGCGTGTCATAGTAACGTATGCAGAAGCCGAATACGGAAAACAGGCAGGCTAGTACTGGGCCGATGAAGACGGCGATCTATAGATTGGGATGATTATTAAGTGCGCCTGGAAGGTAGACTGTACCTTTATTGGTGTCGTTGCCCCGATGAAGTAGCCCCAAGATTGCGCGCAGAGGGTGCTCAACGTACAGAATATCAAGAAGAAGTAGATTCGAAAATCAAAGGGTTGTTCCGTTAGCCAGTAGCTAATCGCAATGTAAGACCATGAGCATAATATCTACAAAATACAGTTTATTCAAGTGAAGATTTACTTTGTAATTACCTGTAACGGCACCTCCAGCAGCAAGACCGATAATACGTAGGGTAGAAGTTGGTACCATTGGTTAAAGTGCTCTCTTTGCAGAACTCGCATTTCTAAAGGAACTGAAACAAATAATTTACTTAGGAGATCAATTCTTCGGGCATACTTACAAGATAACGTCACGGACATTTTCCCCGTATAAACAATTAACAGCATAGATCCGTACAAGTAAGCGTAATTAGCCAACGCGGTGTTTGCACCTTTACCAACCCCTCGGTATAAGTATCCAAATATGAGACCAATAATTATGTGGGCCGCAACTCGATTGAGCAGGTAAATCTGTAATGGAAGCACGTTCGAGACTTATCAGGAACGTATGAAGCGCTTACGTAGTTGCGTCGAGTGCAAAGGAAATTTCTTTTGAACAACAGGAAGAACTGCACCAACGGCGATGCGGGTTTTGCAATTACGCTATCGACTATCTCCGTAATATCCGTATTAGTGACGGCCAGTAGGTCCTTATCTATAAAACTGAGAATCACCGCCGATCCTGGTTTTCAAAATAATTACCTTTACTTTGCCTACTTGCTTTGGCAATACTGGTTAGCTTTTGGAGATCCCTCTCGTATTCGCCACTTGAAACCTCCATCACTGCAATTTGAGTAAGTTAGAGAAAGGGTATGTGAGATATGCTCGTACAGAAATCCGCTGGATTGTGGTAAGGGGGGCATTGTAGTCCGACCAAGGCCAAGTGTGGTACCAATTCTGCTACAGGCCCTTGAAAAATGCAATTGCCGTCAGCGAGCGCATACAGTTGGTCAAACATTTCAAATATCAATGCGGAAGGTTGGTGAATTGTGCAGATGATTGTTCGTCCTTCTTGGGCCAAACGCTTCAGTAGTGATACACACTGGCTGCATGACAAGCTATCCAATCCCCTGCGAGAAATAGATTATTAAAGTTCAAAATTTGCGCTGCTTTTACGTAGTAGGCTCGTCCAAGAATATTAGGGGTGGATTGCTGATTAGTTCCAACGCGATCGCAAGTCGTTTGCGTTGTCCACCTGAGAGACGTCCTGTTAGTGTGTGATGGCATTCTTCAAGTCCCAACATTTCGAGAAGTTCATTTGCCTATAAATTGCTTTATTTATTATACGTAAACATCTCCCAGTCAGATATTCGGGTGTAGGAATTAGTGAAGGTCAAAAAAACACACATTATTGTTTAGCGTTTTGTGTGGCGCATTAAATATGCAGCCTCTGCTGAATTTTTTTGTGTTCTTTAGTAGCCTAATTAAATTTCTAATCAACAAAACATACCAATCCGTTTTTACTTGTCCCCAAAAACTACTGTGTGTTGTGATAAGCGTAAGATAATTATAATAACTTTGGCAACAGGATTGTATTATCTCTATTACACAAAGGCAGCAGCAGCGCATGTAATTAATAGGAAAAGTTTAATATTTTCGCCCACTGTACCCAAGGCCATGCCAAGAACCATCTTAGATGCGGAAATATACTCTTCATATACGAATTAGTTACATACAATTGTTATTTTATAAACGAAGATATGTTTAAACACTTTTCCAGTGAATATTAGCTAAAAATTTATAGGTGAGTATGATGTTAGAATGAACGGCGCCTGCAATGCAAAAATGTATAACTTTCCGAACGTATCAAAATGGTCTCTTTTCAAGCTTGTTATTTTTCAACATATTTACATATTCGCCTTGGTAAATTCCCCTCCGTAAATCAGGAGGCCATCTAGGTGCAGGAACGATTCTACCGGTTAAGTTGCAAACAAGATGTGAAGTCATGGTGCACAAAATGTGCTATTTGTGCCACAAGCAAAGGACCAGGATGAAAGAAGAAGACACCATGGTAGTCCATTTGAAACAATAGCCTTTGATATCGCGGGCCTCTCCTCAGAGACAGCTGTTGGAAATAAATATACCTTGGTGGTCATGGACTATTTCAGCAAATGGACTACCAAATCAAAAAGTTTAGTTTAGTTAGTAGTAAATAAATAAAACCATGTAATTGAATTTATTATGTTACAATATAAGTACCTTGAGGAGTCTGTATATTCGCGACAGATCAGCGAACCATTTTGGTGTACAATATCAAGAATTAATTTTAGAAAAACCTAATAAGTTTTACACGTCAATCCGCCAATATGTGACGATCTTATTTTGCACACATAAAAGTTTGTATTTTAATACCGAGGGGTGCAGTTTGGCAGTTTGTTGAAAAGAGAAAAGAGAGAGGTTCGCAGGATAATGTGCCTGTTTCGATTATATTATGAACAGCAATTTACTTTGTGGAAAAGTACAGGGTGATTCAAATGGGACAGTTTCTTATTTTAAGAGATAGAAAAAATATGGAGCTCAAGATTAAAACAAAATCACTGGCGCAAACCGAATTCAGCTGTCTTTAATCGTTTGGCCCGAGGGGTAATTCGCAACTCATAATTTGTACAGAGATTACCACTTTTGCCTTGATTTCCTCAGATTTCCTGTGGATTTCCAATGATTACCTTGGGAGTTCCTGTGATTACTTCGAGATTTCCCATGATTACTTTGGGATTACCCCGATTTCCTCTGATTACCTCCCAAAATTTCTCTAAGATATATTTGAAAAAAGTTGTTGAGCCGACAGATGAATGATATATAAACTTTAAATATAAACGGAACATGTATTCAAACTGATAAGAAAAAAATTATAACACAAATCGAGATCGAGGACTGTCAGTGAAATAACTAAGCGCAAGGCCAAGATTTGAGACATTGTCGTATATGGCCCATCTTAAAAAAACACCCTGTATAAGCATATAAGTATAATACTTAAAATAGCACGGCAATCATTCTTCCGGAATATGATTTAGAAAATCCTGACAACTTGGACCCTTTCAGGGGACATACCCCGACCTAATCTCATCATGTATGCATTATATTATAAGCATTATATAGGTAGGTACTTGGTATTTAGTCCAGGTTATATAATATTTTTTTACAAAACAAATTAGTTACCGGGCGAAACCGCGTTTTTCAGGCAGGTGAAATGAATAGAAATTGGGAAAAATAATTAAAACAGCTGAATTTTTCCAGGGGTGAAATCACAGGGGTTGAAAGGGGTGGAAAGTGGTGTTTTGCAAATTGTGGCAAAACTATTAATTTTAGACGAAAATGTTAAGTGTAAAAGTTATAGAGATTAAAAAAATGAGCAACTTTTGTTTTTGTATCTAGACTACTTTACTACCGGAAAAACTGTTTTTTTCGTTGTTTATTTTTATTTTTGCGACAAAATGTCGTAGGGGTTTGAAATTTGGAGGAAACATAGCTTGTTTTGATAAAAAAGAAGATAATTTTTTGGGCCCGTAAAGTCGAACCGTTTCCAAGATCTCACGATTTCTGAAAAAAACCACCTCTTTTTCAAACCGATGAAAAATCTATTTTTTTTTCATCGTACAGAGGTACACGGGGTAGCAAAATTTTCGGGAAGACTTATATTTTAATAAACAAAATTTAAAAAATATTATTCCTATAGCAAAAATTCGAGAAAATCGCCAAAAACTGGAAAAACAGTATTAAGACATACACGGTTTTTGACATGATAAATCAACATGTTGGATCTTAATAAAGATTTTTTCGAAATCTTTCTTCTTGCTTCTTTAATGTTTGCTTAAATATTCTTTTTTGGTATCTTATGCTCAACTGTTTTAGTTAAAACATTTTTATTATTTCTTTTTTCTGCATTTTTACCTCAATAAAAGCAAATCGAAATAAAATCGGATTATCTTGCTTCCTGATTCCTGAACAATTTCTTTTTGGTCACTGACTCTTCTTCCTGCCTGTTTTATAGCTGATGCAATTGCGTTGGGCCTGTTGAAAACTTGCAAAATCTGCAATAAGAACGTTAGTTTTACCGGTCATTGGCCAAAGCAAATGATTTGAGATGTAAAACCTGGAATAAACTTTATGAGGATTTATTCTTAATTCCTGTAAATTAACGATCAACAGGCCCAGCTTAATCCCATCAGCTGTAAAATAGGCAGGAAGAAGAGTTAGTGAACAAAAACAAATTGTTCTGGAAGCAAAAGAATTCGATTTACTTTGAATTGCTTTTATTGCGATAAAAATGCAGAAAAAAGAAATAATAAAGATGTTTTAATTAAGGCAGTTGGGCACTGGGAAATAAAAGAAAATATTTTAGCAACATTAAAGAGGAGAGAGAAGACAGATTTCAAAAACTTTTTATTGGCGCGGATCCAATACGTTAATTTAGTTGCAAAAAAAAGCTATTTACCTATTGTCAAAAACGGTATATCTTAAAACTGGTCCCCCAGTTTTTGCCGCTTTTCTTAAAATTTACGTTACGAAAATTTTGCTACCCCGCGCACCTCTGTATGATGAAAAAAAATAGATTTTTTTATTTTACCCTTGAAAAATAGGTGGTTTTTTTCAGAAATCGTGAGATCTTGGAAACGGTTCAACTTTACAGGCCCGAAATTTTTATTTTAATTAATTTTTAATTTATTATCTTTTTTTATTAGAAAACAAGCTATGTTTCTCACAAATTTCATACCCCTACGACATTTTTTTGCAAAAATAAGAATAAAAAACGAAAAAAAACAGTTTTTCCGGTTTTTCTAGGAAAATTGGAGGTTATGTGAAAATGGTGTAGATACAAAAGTTGCTCATTTTTGTAATTTATATTACTTTTACATTTAACATTTTCGTCTAAAATTAATAGTTTTGCCACAATTTGCAAAACACCACTTTCCACCCCTTTCAACCCCCCTGATTTCACCCACGGAAAAATTCAGCTGTTTTAATTATTTTTTCCCAATTTCTATTCATTTCACCTGCCTGAAAAACCCAGTTTCGCCCGGTAACTAATTTTTTTGAAATTAAATTATTTTAAAGCTATTTAACCTGGACTAATTGCGAAAATATCGGCGCCAATGAAGTCACGGGCTCCACATGTTTATTACGTACTTTTATTTTCGCAAAAAGCAACTCTACATATTTTAATATAAACCGTTAAAAACCAAAAGGAATGAAAGGCAAGTTGTAACACGATTCACAAATACTTCTTACCGTATAAATTCAGATGTAAACTCGGATGTACCTAAACTAAACATACAATCACTTATTTTTAGCGTATAAACTAAAAAACGTTCACACAACATTTTGAGTAACGCAACTGCGCATGAGCATTCAGCATTTGTAAATGATTTCCCTTGAATGGTCTTTGATTTCCTTCTACATTTCCTTGATTTCCAATGATTTCCCGTGATGTCCCTTGATTTCCTCCGATTTCTAGTGATTTCATCATGACTTCCTCGTGATTTCCTCACTAGTGCACAGAGATTTCCCCTGCGAATTACCCCTCGGTTTGGCCGCTGGGGGTGGGGGTTCGAAATTACTCGATTTCTTTAATGCTCCGTAACTTTTTTATCATTAACGATAATGGATTTCAGCACAGAGCACTTTTTTATGTAGAATCTCACGCGTTACATAGTTTTTATACAGGGTGCTTAGTTTTTCTTATACGATCCTAAACTACATTTTTCATACGAACCACCCTATACATTTTCCAGTTATTGAAAGAGCATAAAATTTCCTAAATTTTGATGTATCACTCGTTATATTTATATTAAATATTATTTGGAATATGACATTTTATACATTAACATATGTTTAATGCAGACATCTAGGTTTTCATGGCGAAGAAAAGATGACAGGATTGTTTAAAACGACAATTTTCCATAATCAATTATCTTTAATAATAAGAAAGTTATGGGGCATTGCACAAATCGATTAAATTCGAGAAACGCCCCCTAGCGGCCTAACAATTAGGGATAGCTGAATTCTGTTTGCGTCAGTGATTTTTTCTTTAAAATTTAAGTCCAGGACTATTTTTTTCTACCTTTTAAAATAAAACAGAATTTCAGTTTTTACCAAAAATGAAATACCATTACTTATTCTGAAATTATTTTTGTTTATCGCCCTGCCCTTTTGGCAATTTTTTTTAATGAAATTGGGTATGCTTGCTTACAAACGAGGATTGCAGAATTTTTTTCGTAACTTATTGGTATAATAACATACATTATTTATATACTATTAGCTT